GAAGCTGTTCACTTCAAAAATCGATTTTTCTGCAGTAGATGCGTGAGTGCCCGGATTTGAAACTGATGTTCGTTGGACGTTTGAGAGTTTCAGACAGGGCTGATTTAGGGCCCTGCTCTAAGTTGTAAGAACTCCATGCTGCCATGTTTTAGGAGAGCTTGATTTCAGATATGTTCATGGCTGTCTTTCTCTCTCTCTCTCTCTCTCTCTCTCTCTCTCTCTCTCTTTGCTGAAAAGGTAAAGGGGGGTTAGTGCTTGGCCTCCTAATTGCACTCCATGGTGCCAAAAAATCATATGCTGCTTTTATGGATACTATTTGAAATGGCGGCTCTGGTAAAGGTTATGATGGCTTCAGTATCCAGTACTTATTCTGAGGGTCATCTTCCAAATGAAAGCCATACCCCAATTAACAGTCTGCTTTGAATATCAATTCATGCCTGGCTAAAAACCTTTGCACATGGATCATTATGTAGCTAAAATAATCTTCATTCAGACTGATTCTGACCTTTCACCATTGTTAAAAAAGTGACATTCTGCATGTTTATGCAACATATGATATTTTTTTTAATTTTATCATTAGTTCAGTTATGCATGGTGAATTTCATACATTACCATTAGTAAGTTAGTTAATTGTTTATTTGTCTGTCATTTTTCTAGCATGCATTTTCATTGGAAGAAGTTATTCCACTGGAAAAGAAGTGAGATTCTGAGCAATTATTTCAATTATTTTGAGACAGTGTTCCTAATAAAACACTTTAAATAGATTGCAAATGGCCTCTTAAACATCCCTGCATTGCACCATCATTATGTTCTCACACACTCTGACCACTGTATCATTTTCTGGCAAATTCTTGCAGGCATTTAGTTGTTTCAGCCCTGCTGTCCATATTTAATAGGATACTGTTTGTGTTTGTACGGAGCAATAGCCTGCAGTCTCGCTGCTGAGAGAGAAAGAGAGAGAGATGGAACGCGTGTTGTCATCTACGTGAGAGTTTCCTCTGACACTGACATACAGGAGCCAGCTGTGAGCTGTCTGGCAGATCGGACCTAAGGGAGACGGCCGCCACCGCTGCAAAATCTTTAATTACTCGCTAACAAGTGGAACCGTCCTCATTTCAACCCGAGCACATTTTACCAGCTCACTCTGACAGGGGAAAGAGATTTCATTTTTGAGGGCAACATCCCATAGGAAAAATGTATTGCTCAGTGGTTGCTTTTCCTAAGCTCAGGAGACTGAGATTCTCATATATCTCTCATTTTAGTATAAACAGCATTTCAGATGTTTCTCCTAAAATCCCTTAGGAGAAATGGAAGTAGACACAAATGAGACATAAGAAATATTTGGGAAAAAAAAAAAGTAAAAACAGAGAATATGGTGGAAGAAACATAGAATATCTCTTTATTGTCTTGCTGCAATCTCTATCAAGACTCCATTATAGGAATATTGGAGCGGGAAAGTACCTTTAGCTGGGATTCAAACCTGTGTTGTCTGTAGTTCAGTTGTGTCTTCACCTTGATGTATTGCCCACAAGGCTACGGCTCTGACAGAGCTTACTTTTCGCTCAGGATACTAATGGGTGATTCTCTTATATGTCTCATTGAGCTATCAGCTTTGTCTTAAGATGTCTTCAGTTTTATAGTGCCAGAAAATCAGTGTGATATGTTGTTGAGATCTCTTCTAAAGCTTTAAAGGAGACTAATATGAAACCATCAGAGTCTTTAGACCAGGAGAATCATCTGAGCACAGTGTGTGACGCTGTTGAGATCTTGTTTGAAACTTTGGAGGAGACAAATGTGAGACCACCAGAGTATTTAGCTAAGGAGAAAAATCTGAGCACAGTGTGTTATGTTGTTGAGATCTCTTCTAAAGCTTTAAAGGAGACAAATATGAGACCACCAGAGTCTTTAGACTAGGAGAAATACCTGAGCACAGTGTGTGACGCTGTTGAGATCTTGTTTGAAACTTTGGAGGAGACAAATGTGAGACCACCAGAGTCTTTAGCTAAGGAGAAAAATCTGAGCACAGTGTGTTATGTTGTTGAGATCTCTTCTAAAGCTTTAAAGGAGACAAATATGAGACCACCAGAGTCTTTAGACTAGGAGAAATACCTGAGCACAGTGTGTGACGCTGTTGAGATCTTGTTTGAAACTTTGGAGGAGACAAATGTGAGACCACCAGAGTCTTT